AGAAACCAGGGCCCAGTTCCTCTACAAGCACGCAGGCCACCACCTCAAGGTCGCATGCCGTCACTCTAGGGACGCGCTTCGGAGACGCGATAAGATAGCGTGAGAATGGACTTGGCGCGGAAAAAGACCAATCAATAATTGCTACCATCACCCCCTCCCCTACCAACCCCATTTATGCGTAGCTGAGGTTTGGCTGTTTTCATTTACTCTGACGATGGCTTCTCGTGTGGAGCCGAAAGCTCAGGATACAACTATTGTTCCAGAGGGTGTGGAGCCGAAAGCTCAGAATAAAACTATCGTTCCAGAGATCGCTTCGTCTTCTTTGCAACAAAAACCTGGGGCACGCATATTCGCTTCTATTCGTAAGTATAGGAAACGGCGCGCGATAGCGTGCCCCGGTCTGTCGACGCAAAGTCCGATCGATTTTCCAATAGCTGCCGCGCACGCATTTGCAGCCTTAGTAACGCGCCCGTGAGTAGTCTGGACACCCAAAAAAATAAGTCACGACATACAACGACAAAAACTGGTCACAAATGCCTGAATTTTGCTATAAGGGACATAGACTCGGTATGAAGGTGTAATTTTTTTTATTAAAAAATACAAAAATAGGTACAAAAACGTGCCTATGTAGATGCACGAAAATTATTTGTTAGTTGAAATACATATGTATCTAAAAAAGTCGTTTGATGGTCACTTTGAAGGGCCTGCTTGAAGACTTTCATCGCCGTTCCTTTTTCGCCTCCTCTAAAATTAATGAAGATGATAATTAGTGTTGTGGTAAGTAAAATGGGGGTGCATGATGGGCAATGTAAGTCAAACGCACATGTGTGAATGGACGATGTGGACTCGGAATCGGACATGGAGCCGTAGTCGTCGTCGTAGTCAGATGACGGCTGGGATATCCCAGTCATTGCTATAGATCGTCCGAGAACAGCATCCTCTATCACGGCTAATCGACCCTTAATGGCAATTAGTTCGGTTATTATTTCCTGCAACCCTGAAGCCAGTTGGCGCTCAATATCCAAAAGTATGTTGTGAATGGTGGCTGAGAAAAGTTATTAATAGTAAGCTGCAATACTTACAGTACTGCTGCCCCTCGACATCAGGCATTACGGTGCCGTTGTCTCCGGATGAGGGCTGCAGTGCGGTGGCTTCCTGGTGGTTTACCTCTGAAGTTGTTTAACTTAATATGTGAACGTTACCTTCAACTGGGCCAGGAGGTGACCCAGGGACCCTGCTCCGCCGTTCAAGTGGAGTTCCTAAATTGTACTCAACTTCATCTTCCTGGTCCCGGTCATACACAGAATTATTTGGTCGCCCACAGTGGTTGTAGTTTATTTGGCGGGGTTCTTTGTCCATTGGCAACTGGAGGAGAAAAAGAGGTTAGACAACCTGTCTAATAATGCGGTAACCACTCATCGTCTTCCGCGAACCAAAAGCTACGGACTGTCGGGCCGCAGGGTTCGCGAACAAAGGTGAAGTCCCCGAGAAGGATGTGGAGTGCGTCGCAAGGACCTTTACGAATACGTTTAGCAAGCGATATCAGGATCCTCATGGATTGTACTGGTTCCTTCAACACTTGATAAGCGCATTCGCTTTGAACCTTACGACGTACTTGGATAACATTGCTGACTATTTTCAGACATGCTAAAGAAGTACAAAGTCAAAAATAAATAAAGGATAATTGCAAGCACAATTGGCGCCCTGCAGAGCTTCCCCTCACCGTTCTACGAAGTAACGTAAACAAAAATGAAATAGTACGCCTACGGCTTCGGTTTATAGGAGACCTGCTCACAGTGCACGTGATGAACGCAGC